ATGTCTGATAATATTTGAGCTTAATTTACTGTTTCTACGGTCTGTTATGTGGCTGTTTAAACCGTTTATCTACATGAATATCTGTCCAGTCTCCCTGATACACAGAGCAAATCTATAAACTAACTAGAATATACAGATGATTTCATAAAAAAAATTTTTGATTACTTTTTGATGAAATTATTTAAAAAGAATGTCTTTTGCTTCTTTCACTTTATAAAACACTTTTACATCTATATACTGTTGTTGTTATATCTAACTTGACATTTCTGTAGAGGAAATATATAATAAATAAATCTTGAATTTATAAATAACGTCACTCATACATAACATGTATGGGCAAACAAGGCTAGAATATACACGTTTTCATTTTAACATCCCATACGGAAATGCAATACATGATATATATGACCCGACATCAAGAGTTATATTGTCATATATGTTACCTAAGGTGATATATTATTATCACATCTATACATCCTCTGGATATATGAAGATAAAAGTTATATATATTATATAATATAAAATAGGCCTACCCATAGTAAAATGTGTATGTATATATAAAATATCTTACACAGTATTTTATGTTCCTACCATACTATATGTTAACAGTATTCAAGTTTATTAAAACAAAATCAACACAAATTCACAAAAATTAAATTAAGATATTCTATATGCACAAATAATAATATATAATGTTGCTGTATTATATGCACATAAATGTACATATTTGTATAGGCTAGACATATATGTCAGTATATGAAATTTCAGATTCTGTTTCAATTTCAAATGTTTGTACATATTTAATGTACAATAATTTATGTACACATATTATATTTTCATAAGGGCTGATTTATTAATGCCTGTTGGAATCTCATATTTTACCGATAAAGTTTCATAATATTTTAACTTAATTTACTGTATCTACTGCGTGTAATGTGCATGTTAGAACCGTTTATCTACCGTTATGAGTCGTTTTCAAACTGTTTATGCCCAAGGCACACCAAAGGGCAAGCCAAAATCTCAAGGCACACCTCTATTTGTATCTGTGCACACTAGCCTCTACAAGGTGTGTTATCACTTTTACCACGACATAAATGTTTGTTTTTATTTACAAATTTCAAATAACAACTGTCAACCAACTATTTCTCGTGAAATATTTAACAAAATGATTAATGATTTAAACTTTTTAAAATTTCATCAAAGCACCAATAACACATCAATTTAAACAGGAAATGTTGTAAGATAATGTCAGATAATGTGATGTGTCACACACTTATAATTCCCACACATGAACTGCAACAAATAGGTTCCCTGTGATGTTTTTTAAATAAAGTTACATTCAATTCAATTTTTATTAGGAAATCGATGTGACCAACATACTGATACAGTCAATTAAAAATCCATTCATAACTTTTTGTAAAGACCTAGCTGAATATTGCAATAATAATGTGAGGTTATCACAGAATCCTACTGCACGCCTGGATTGGTATATATTAACTAGAGTACAGATGTTTTCATTTTAACATCCCACATGGAAATCTAATATATAATATATACACTGATTAGCCAAAACATTAAAACCACTGACAGGTGAAGTGAATACCATTGATGGTTTCATTACAGTGCAATGTTCTGCTGGGAAACCTTTGGTCCTGGCATTCATGTGAATGCCCCTTTACACACACCACCTATCTAAATGTTGTTATAGACCAAGTACCCCCACTCAATGCGACAGTACCCCTGATGGCAGTAGCCCCTCAGCAAGGCAATGCACCATGCCCAACTGCAGAAACCGCTCAGGAATGGTCCAAGGAACGTGACAAAGAACTTTGGGCATCGATCTAGCTTACAAATTCCCAAGCTCCCAATCTGATCAAGCATCTGTGGGACAGAGATCCTTTGTCCGGGGCTCAACAGGCCAGAGCCAAGTCTGATCTGCAGTGGGGCATCTGCCCTGTTGAGGCATGGAGACAGGACCTCTGGGGGTGTCCTGTGGTTTCTGGCACCAAGACATTGTCAACAGATCCTTTGAGTCTTGTGGGTTGTGAGGTAAGGTGCCCAGTGGATTTTCAATTGGATTGGGATCTTGGGAATTCGGAGGCCAGGTTGACACCTTGAGGTCTTAGTCACGTCCCCCAGGCCATTCCTGAGCACTGCCATCACTGAGTGCGCCCCCCTTGCACCTTGAGTAGGTGTTAGGTATTAGTGAGGCTGAACCCATGAGTGTTTTTATACACTGTCTTTAAAGTGTACAATGTATAAAAACACTCATGGGTTCAACCTCACTAATACTAGTTCAAAAACATGCCAACAACACTGAGAGGAAGGTATAATGTAGCTGGGATAGGCTCCATAAAGTCAGTTTACACACCATTCATATATTTGTTACCCAGTCATTTTAAAGAGCTGTTAGCTGCCACAAAATTGCAGCACACTCTACAGTATAAACAGTACATGATCCTGGTGTCATTGAACCTTAGTGCAACTATTCAACCTTTTTAAAACATCAGTGTGTGGAAGAAGCGAGGATCAATCTGTGTGGGCTTTCTGGCACCGCACTGAGCAAACAGAGTCAAGTTAGCAGGACGGGCCTGTGTGTTTATGTCTTTTTATGCAAATAACAAAAAAGTCTTGACCTTGACGCATGTTTCAGGCATGAGGGAGCCTTTTAAAGCCAACTGACCTAAAGATACAGTTGTACTTTTTAAATCCCCTCTGATCAGAATGAATATATATAGGTTACATCCATAAGTTAATGTTGTTAAAGTTAATGTCAGGGTGAAACACTTAACATACAAATTAGAGATATTAAACTTTGGTACAACAGTATTACAACTGCACACTCTACTTAAAGGCACATATTATTATTTCTAGAGGCCCACTATGTTCCTGTGTTGTGTTTCCTTTATTTAAAACTGTTGCTGCACTTTCACTAGAACGAAACTACGACCACAAAAACACAGATAAAAGTCAATGGAAAACTTTTAATGAGTAACTCAACAGGAAGCTCCTCAGTTTATATAGTCTTAGTGAGAAGTGGTGTGTGGTTGGCAGATGTAGTTGCAGGTGTCCTCCAGGAGGAGGCAGTGTAGGGCACAGGGAGCAGCTGGTTAGTGAAGGTTAGTTGATGAGAATAAGAAGATGAAGATGAGCGATGAAGCTGGTGTGTGCTGTGCAGATGTGTTGTGTGAGTGTGTATGTTAGTAAAAGACTGGGTCCCGCTGTATTACTCAGGCTGCACTACAGCGTCTATTCACAGGCGCGATCCCACTACTGAGCGGCACGGGGGCTTTGACCTGCTCCGTTTCCGACCTGGGCCGGTGCACCCCTCCTTAGGCGACCTGGTGGTCCCGAGCTCCCTCAGGAGCACCATATCGATACCGAACTTAGTGCGGACACCCGATCGGCATAGTCCGCTGCAGCTCAGAGCTCCTGAGCTCAAACGGTCCGCCAGCCTCAGCCTCCCGGTAGCTTGGATTACAGGCGCGCGCCACCGCACCCGGCGAGGAAATGTTAACAGTCATAGTGCTTATGAATTGGAGTAAAGTGACGTCATGGCTGAGCTTGCTTTGGCGGCATCTAGCGGCGGAAAATGAAACTGCAACTGCAGAGATGAAGGCTGAGAAAACATGAAACTATTAGAGAAATTAAATATAATGTGGTGATTTATTCATGTTTGTTTGAATGTCATATTTTACCGGTAATGTCTGATAATATTTGAGCTTAATTTACTGTATCTTCTGTGTGTAATGTGGCTGTTTAAACCGTTTATCTACATGATACAGATGTTTTCATCAATATATTTAATATATGGCCCTTCATCAGGAGTTTTATTGCCATATATGCTCCCTGTAAGATGATATATTATTATCACATGCATACATCCTCTGGATATACAAAGATAAAAGTTTATAACAAATATGATAAAGGCCTTCCCATGGTAAAATGTGTATATGTACATGCATAAAAAATATTTATATGATGAATTCTTACATGGTACTTTATGTTGCGAACATACTGAATGTTAACAATATGTAAATTTATGAAAACCAAAATTCAAATTCAGATATTTTGAGGAAAAATAATTATATATGTTGCTGTATTATATGTACATACACCTACATATGTGTATAGGCTAGATATGCATCACTATATGAAATTTCTGATTCTGTTTCATACTTAGTTTGTACATATATTTACATATTTGTTTTATGTGCTCCTAAAGAAATCAAACTTACTGCAACTATACCAAGTGCTTGTAGGATAAAATAAATTGAAACATACAGAAAATGTCTTTAGTTTATGTATTTGTCAGTTTGGTCAAATCTGTCAACACAAAGGCGCCAATTAGTTTGCCTGGTAGAGTGGGCGCCCCGAGTGCAAAGGCCCTGTTCTTCCTGTAACTGCCACAGGTTTGATTCCAACCCCCAGTCTTATCAATTAAACGCAAAAAAAAATCCCTAAATATATCTAAAAAATCTGTCAAGACAAGCATGAGAGGGTGTTTGTGCATACATTTATTGAGACTGGGATTCCTACACAACTGTAAGTCAACTGTTGTTTGTATTGTGATACCTAATCTTAACTTCTTAAATCTTGCCCCTAAAAAATACCCTATATTATAATCATAAAAACTAAACTGAAACAGGCAAACCCCTCTGTAAAGTAACTGAATAAAACAAAAATTAAAAACTAAATAAAAATAAAACAAAACAATCTTAATTTTCCATCGTCAATAATTAAATCTTAGAGATCCCATGTACAATGTTTTCTTAACAATATAACTTAAAATTGTATAGTTTAAGTTTTATCATCTGCTCTGTGCTGCATCACCTGATCTTATCCTTTTATTTGAGAACAAAATCTCCACTGAACGATCAATAACTATCCTCACTGACTAAGTCAATACTTCAGACATTTAAAAATGATCATGTCAGTGGTGAACATCTGTACAAACCAGTATTATTAAGAACATGAGATCAATGACGAGTTAATGCAAGTTTAAAGTTCATTGTGGAGAATTTTAATATTCTGAGAGCATGAGCAAAAAGCCTCTTCATCTTACAAAACACTTCTGTTAAAACCAGTCCAAACAATACATTAAAATGAAACGAAACAACAGTTGCAGAATGAAAAGAAGGATGAAGATCTGTCGACGCAGATAGAGATCATCCCCCACAGCATCACATGTAAACCACCAGACACCCTGGACTTTATTAGCTGTGAGACACAAAGACAGACAGTATTTACCAAGTGCAAAAAATGTGATGACATCCCTTAAATAAAGGCTCTTATTTTACGTTTGTATGTTTAATTGGGTGAATCCTTCTCATGCATTAGTTAGATTATGATATGCAGGAGATATTTCGATCACCAGGCTAACCATATGGAATTTATTATTATCCTCATCTGTTCACCTGCTCTGTGTTTTTGTCCACTTCAGGGCATGTCTCGGAGGCACCGTCGTGGTTGGGTGGTAGAAGGTACATCCGGCTCGTTTACACTGTCCAGCGAAGCGACATGGCTGTGGGTAAAAGAAGCAACAGTTATAAAGTCTCAGGTCTTGTGCAGAACATCCTGACTGGACTCTTCCTTTTTAACCAAATCCTACATTCAATCAAATTACTATCACAGAACAGAGCTCTACATCCACTCTTTAAAATGTTTTACCTTGGGATGATAGAATGGACAGTCCATCTTCTTGCACTCTGGGAAGAAGCGGCACACGTTTTGGGTTTGCACTGGCTGCATTGCTGTAAACACAGAGAGTCAAGTTAGAGATGAATCAATACTAAATACAGTTTAACTAAGATTTGTTTGATTTGATGGCAACTCTGGCTCTGCCTCCAGTTGTACCCAGCAAACACTGAGACAGTTGTTTGAACATTAATCATGGCGTCCTGTTATGGCTCAAAGACTGGTTTGTGGATGGGTTCTCCTGTCCTTTTGTATTCCCTCTCGCTCACCCTCGTAGAAAATACTTTGAAAAGTGCCTGACTTTTTGTGACTCTTTATTAATTCGTGTCCTCCACACACCCTGAGCCTCAAAATAATAAATCAACTTTGATTCACATGTTGACCCTGGTCTCCTGGGTAAAAGTCCTGTTCTTGATCCATTCATCCCCCAGGACGTTCTCTCAATGTGGACTTTGCTGTTCTTCATACTACATCAACTGACTTTCTGGCAGAAAGCCCTCAAAGCAAACTTCCCCCATGTGTGATCAAAGACAGTTTAGATAAACAAGTCTGGGTCTTTAAGGCCCAGACACGCCAAACCACTAAAGAGAACTGGCTGTGACGAAAGTCCCCTGCTGTGTCGTTTCATGTTGCCTGTGTCTCCACCAAAATGTTGCACGAGAACACACTGCAGAGACTACAGCCACTAAACCAGCACATATGTTCTGTGCCTGCGTGAGATGAAATAACTCTCCACACCAGTGGTAGTCTGTATTCATCATTAAAAAAGGGAAACCGTAAGACTGTCTTGATGCTAGTTAGCCAGTTAGCACAACAACAGCACAATCCAATGTTGAAAGAACAGAGCATATTTCCTGTGCACCAGTAAACCGTAACACAAACCATCAGGAAACATTTCTGCTAAAGGTCTCAATGGCTAAAGAAAAATAATCTTACCTGATGTAACAAGTTTATTTGATCTCACGCCCCCTCTAGACTAGAGTCGTTTGTTTACTTTCCTCACTTCCGTTTCTCTTCTCCTGCACTGAGCTGAAGCCAATCAGAGTGATTTCATTCACCGACGTGCTTCGTCGTCGCCAACGCCAATTCAACATGCTGAATTGCCGATAAAAGCCAACTAGCGCCAACAAGAGCCAATGGTGTGAGACACACCGCGCCAACTACAGCGAATGATGCTCACCGACGGCTTGACATGGACCGACAGCAGACCATTGGCTTGGTTTGTCAGGGCCCTTACAAACACTACAGGTTTTACGTGACAAGACAGGCATGTGATTTACATGTAGATAAACATAAATGGCATAAACATGTTTTATAGAGTCATGTCGTTGATTTTGGACGTGGAGTGGACGTCACAATATGGACGTCTGATCACAGCCTTCTTAAAACCAAATAAATTGTTAATCAAATGTTGTATTACCAAAAAAAAAAAAAAAAAGAGATACATGCATTTGTTTTTCCATCACTATTATATGATCAATATTTCCTGGCGTGTAAGAGAGGTCTGACTAAATCACTATTGGATGTGGAAACAACTTCCCCATCTGGCCATCTGCGTTGCAGTTTTTGGCGTCCCATCGGGACCACTTTTGTCCAAGGACATGGCGTCACCGCCTGAACAATGTTAGCTGGGTCATGTCAGAACATCACTGCAGGATAGTATTGGGTGTGGAACAAATCTTCAAAATTCAAATCTGTGTTGTAGGCAGAGAGAGGCTGAGCAGTGTGTGTTGAATCACAGATGTAATGAGAGAGAGTACCTGGCCGGGGCGGAGGAGCAGCTGTGCTTCTCCGGCTGACGTGAGTGAAGGGACAGTCTGGCTTGGTGCATCTGGCGTCGTATTTACAATTAGGATGCACGAAAAGGCATTTATCCCCAAACTTGCAAGTGGGAAAAGTCCTTCGGAAAACACACAGAAAACATTTATAATGATTCAGTGAGTGATAAAAACGCCATGATAATTTCTTTAGTTTTCTTTAACAGTAATACTCACTTGCACTGTGTTGTAGGGTGATGGTACAAACACTCATCTCCGATTTTACAGACAGGCCAGAACTTGCAGCGCTCCAGCACCTTCTGTTTCTTTACAGGGACGGCATCCTCGTCTGCCATCTCAAAGTCCATCACATCATCTGTCAGAGGAGGACAGAATGTCAACCCTTCACTGAAGCACTCTGTAATTGTGTTTAAAATGAGCTGTAAGAACACATTTGTATTTCAGCTTTATGCAAAACTACAGTAACAAATTATTCTGATGAAACCCTTCACCTTCTGATGATGGGACAACTCCCTGCAGTCTTTGAAGGACGCTGACTTTGGGCTCCCTGTTGGTGAGGATGGCCGCCTCGGTGACCTTTGTGGGCGGTCTCACGTCGTCCAGCTCCATCTCACAGTCAAGATTCCCCAGCGGGCTCGGCACCCCGTCTAACGTCACTATGAACTTGGGGCTGGCAGAGTCGCCCCTCTCCTTACTGGTGTGAGCAAAGAAAGAAGAATTTGTGACAAATGCTCATGTATAAAAGGAAAAGAGCTGTGAGCATACTGTGTGTGTGTATACCTGGCCTGGACAGTGCGTGGTAAAGCAGACTGGACTTCCCCTTTGACCGGAGGACGCTGCTGGATTCTGGCCGTAGCTTCTTCCAGCTGTGGTCGACTCATGATGAAGGAGCGGGTGTCGAATGGCTTTGCCTCACTGCCTGCAGCGACTTCAGCACCTACAGGAACACAACAAACACAGACATCTGAGTGTAACGTATCACTGAAGACTTGTGTGAGAGAAAAACATTTGTGAGACTTACATTATTCAATAAAAGCAAAACTGTACAAAAACACTCACCATAGTCACTGTGCTCTCCGCTGTCATTGCTCTCTGCTAGTTCTAGCTGGAGGCGTGAAGCTAAGGATCTCACTGGAGCTGGAAGGAAAACATCATGATAAGTCATCAGTGGAGAAAACACTGATTTTTAAATTAATGTTAGTTAAAGGGAAACTTTGGTATTTTTCAACCTGGACCCTATTTTCACGTATTTTTGTGTCAAAGTGACTGATGGGAACAACAACTTTTGAAACACCCCAGACGTCCCCCTCCCCAGCAATGCTTTCCAGCTCATCCAGTCAGCGTGTTCTGGGTCTACCCTGGGGCCTCCTACCAGTGGGACGTGCCTGCAACACCTCTAACGGGAGGCACCCAGGGGGCATCGCTTTTTTCAGTAAACATGAAATGCAAAAATTGCCATTCCCACTAAAGTTGCAACTCAAATGCCAATCGATCTCTGTGTAAACAGGGCTGCTGTGAATCAGGTTTTTGGGTGGCAGGGTGCTGAAAGCGGTGCTCAGCAAAACACACTCCATATGCAGCAGTAATTCTACACTTCACATACCAGGTGCTCTGGTGGGAGGTAGCTCTGTGGCGGTGTAGGCCTGAACCCTGGGGGCCAGGCTGTGGAGGTGTTCCTGGACCAGCTGGATGGCTGCAGTCATCTCTTCATTGCTGGCGATGCGAGTGCGAGGTGCAACGGGGACAGTCTGCCTCTGTGGTACTGTGGGGGGGGCACAGCGAGGTCCATGTCAGAAAGTGATGACGGCAACTAAGAGGCATGAACTGCAGTTACAGGGAAGGTCCATCTGTGTTCTTTTCCGTGTTTTTCCAGTGGACACTCCCACTCAGTTATTATCAAAACGCGACGATGTAGGTTACAGCACTGATGTCCTACACATACACAGCTGTTACAGTAGCTGACAGTGTAAGCATGGAGAATGAGGAAAGCGTGAAGCCTGAAGGTGGAAGATGGTGCTATTTTTATTGTTATAAATCTTTATGTAACCAGGTGGTGACACATTGATATTCAATATACACTGCATTTGTACTGTACAAACACATTTATAGACCATTATACCTTGCCGTCACTCATCTGAAGCCATCATATTGCCTTCTTTGAAGTCACCAGACTCCGTTGACAGAGGCAGAAATTTGACTTCACAGCATACGGGTGTTGCTGGTCTACTGCCGACTCGATTGTTTAGTTTGATTGTGTTACTGTGTCCCTTTAGAACTGAATTAATGTGGCATCCAGAGCAGTACATGGGCTTATGTGCAGCAATGACACTGTGCAGAAGGACCCAGTGTTTGAATACACAAGGAACCCTACTGGAAAGCTTCAGAATTATCCAAAAACATCATAAATAAGTGTTCATGCTAATGTAGTAAACATACTTGTGGGGTAGGCTGTAGTTTTGGTGATTGAGTCCTGAGCCTCAGAGATGGCCTTCAGTATCAGATTCCTGTTGGCTTGCTTGGCTGGAGGGAGAGTCGGCCTGAAACAAGAGACACCACAGTGATTATAAAACTCAGCAAAGAGCGTTAACAGTCTGGTAATTTAAGATATGTCACCGCTGAATTGGCATAAGGCATATGTCATCTAATGTTCGACAATATCATTATGAGGTGTTAACACTGACTTGCGCTCTGGTTTGGAGGGTAGGGACACTCTACTGGACAGGCCTCTGCCTCCATAAGCCGCATCCTCCTCTTCCACTTCGTCGCTGTCCTCATCCTCTGCTCGGTTCACTCGCACCACTGAGCTCGCTACCGGCGCCTTACGCTTCCGTGACAACTCCTCCGGCTGAACAAAGACAGCAGATCATTATCAATACAGATCCTCACCTACAGCTGTCCAACACAGAAAGTGGCTCTCATCGAATCACAGTACCTTGTTGGATCCAGGTCTGGAGGTCCTGCTGCTTCTGCTGTCCTGCTGGCGGGAGTGCGAGGAGCCATCTGATGGTCGACATGTGTCCACGGAGCTTACTGATGTGAATTTGCTCTGACCCGGTCTGTAGATTTCAGCTGTGGGTCGACTGGCTGCGCCACGTGTTCGACCGTGGTTGGTGCCTATTTCTACAGGATCCTCAGCGATGAGGTCATCGTCCATCTCTGGTTTGATGTCAATAACAGCCTCTAAGGGGAGGGGCTCCATGAGGGGCTTCACGGTGGAGGTGAGTCGGGAGTTATTCTTCTCCAAGCTGCTTCTCCTGATTACAAACAGAGGTGTGTAAGTGTTCTGTTTAAGCCAACGTCAGCACACAAGGGCAAAAAAAAAAAAATTCTAGCTTTGCATCAGGCACCTGCTCTCATACGCAGAACTGGACACGCGTGCTTCAGTCCTATCAGAGCGTGAGCTGGACACCATCAGCACCTTCAACTCCTCTGCTCTGCCGTCGTCACTTACAGATGACCGGCTCCTCCCAGCCACAGTGCCGCCGTCAGACTGGAGCTGATGTCTGCTGAGGGATGCAGGCTCTGTAGCAACAATGGAGACAAGTGGAGGAAGGAAACATGAGCTTGTCTGGGACACTAAACAGCAGGCTATGTGCATTTAGGACATCCTGAATGTATTCAGCATGGACTGACTTACCAACTGCAACTGATCTCAACTTCTCGAGGACACCCTGTAGCCTAAAATCAATCAACAAACCCATGTTAAAGCTACAACAGATAGTGTTGAGATTAACAGCAAGGTGTTAAAAGGGTAGAGAGTGCAATTTCAATTTAATTAGACAGGAAAAAAAAACTTCCCGTCTGTGCTCATCGTACCATGCTGTGAATTTACTAGTGTTGTTTCCAAGGAAAAGAGAGAGATCGTCAGCCATCTGTTGGGAGGTTTTCTTGTTCGCCACCATCACCATTATATAGTCAGGGAGCTCTTCATCTGGAAACACATTCAACATGTTAATGTGTGATTGAAATATGAAGCAGCTGTCGTCTCTGACTTTAAGATCTGTGCTTTATTCACTCACCAATATATGCACCGAGCTCCTGGAGCTTGCCCTTGATAGCAGCCTGAAACAGACCAGAAGTACAGTCCAGATGACATCATTTAGCTGAACAAATAATGGAGCATCCTGACTGCACTGATGTCACTCATATGCAAAATGAGAGTTACCTGACATCGACTTCATAGCAGTGGTGGAAAGTAACTAAGTATATGTCCTTAAGTACAGTACTGAGGCACATGTACTTTACTTGAGCATTTCTGCTACAGTGTACTTTTCTGCCATTACATCTCAGTAGGAAATATTGCATTCCTTACTCCACTACATTTAGTAGTCTGTCATTGATATTTAATAATTACTCCCTTTTGTTGTTGGTTATATTTATGATTATCTTATGAAATGAAACAATAAATATTCCTATTATTACTTAGTGACTTTTCACCAGTCATCTGAATGCACTGTCATCTATTATTGAGATTTCTGACACTTGATGTGACTTATCATCGCTGTGCAGAGGATTGTGGGTCAGAACAGCCAGAAAAGCATGCTGGCTTGCAAACTGCAACATCAGACCGGATGTAACAGGACATCCTGGTATTTCTGGCATACTGCATTTCACATACCATGTATCGGGACATACTAAATATTTTCCTAGCATACTATGTAGTATGGTATGGGCACTGGAACGCACAGAGTGTTTTCAAGGTAAACTAAGTAAGGATAGACCGATACATCGGCCGGCCGATATATCGGGCCGATATTTGAGTTTTTTACTTGTATCGGCATCGGCCGATACGCGCGTGGGTTCGCGGATTTATTTTTCCCTGGCACTTTTTTTCATTTGAAAGTATGTGGTTAAGTTGAACAAAGCTGTTGAATCCTACTGTGTACAGTAGTTGTTGTTTTATTTATGCTTCAGCTTAAATATTTGTTTATTTTATAAAGACATTACTGGAAGATTTAAGAGCACTGAACTCTTTTTTTTATTTGAATGTATAATAATAATAATAATATTCTACCTGTTCTACCTCAACTTTCCATCTTGTTTTAGTATTTTTTACTGTTCAATAAATGTTTCTTATTTTAAACTTGAGACCTGTAATATTTGTTATCATTGTGTCATTTTTTTGATGTAAATTGAGGGAGCAAAAGCAGTATCGGCCCCAAATATCGGCTCAAGAAAATCGGCAGTCCATAATCGGTCATCAGCTAAGGGTGATGGAGAAAAATCGGTATCGGCATCGGCCCTAAAAATCCATATCGGTCTATCCCTAAAACTAAGTGTACTAAATGTTGCAGGTTGTGCTTACACTTTAGCGGTTTTTAGAGATTTGTTGTTGATACACAAGCCTCAAGTGTTTCCAGGGCTGAGCGATATGTTCTGAAAGTTACATCACAATATTTTAAGGCTGTTTGTCGATACACGACATATATCTCGATATTTTAAATCTCCTCAAAAACAATTCATCAATGCTAGGACTGGGAGACGAAATCGAACTTTACAATATTCCTGACCAAACACCCTCTCTGATGCGACAAAGTTGTAGGGATGACTATTGTTGAGATTTTTGATCAATAATCATCAACAATGTGGATAGGACAACTAATGGGAAGCATTGAAACAAATAGGAAAGTCTGATAAGTTGACACATGTACATACATTTGCTGTAGTGCAGCCTTTAAAACCCCATTTATGCACTAATGCGATAAGACGATATATAGCCTCATGCCTCGAGAACAATATCTTCATACTGCACAGCCCTAATAGTGTCATTTTTTCGTGTGTATACAATGGAGAAAACTGTACGTTTAAAAAAGTTTCTCTGGAGGGAATTTCACCCAGAAACCCCTTCAGGCTTGGGTCGCAAAAGACTGCAAGAAGACTGCAAATGTTTCCCCCAAACAGAGCTGAAAGGAAGCTGGAGCCACCATGTCTCTGCATGAGATCGACTATGTGGTATGTTTTTATGATACAATATGATGTAGTACTATACTACTTATCTACCCAGTAGTGTACTTGGCTTCACATTGATACACTACAACATTAAAATGATCTTACATGTATTCATTAGTGAAGAAAACAGGAACAATATGATGCTCTACAATAAACCACTGTGAAATGAACCATTCTGCTTAATGAGTAATTTTACTTTTAATACTTTAAGTACATTTAGCTGATAATACTTTTGTTTTGGACTCTTGTTAATAGTTGAGTATTCTTAGACTGTAGTATTTCTACTTGACTGACATAAAGTATCTAAGTACCTCTTCCACCACTGCTGGTGAAGACTCTCAGTCATCCAGGTCATGGTCGTCTTAAATACTATATTGTAGGCAACTGGACTTGCTTGAGTTTCTTGAGGATGTCTCACCTCTCATCCGGGATGCTTCTTCAGTTCTGGACTTCAGTTCAGAACTGAACTCTTGGACACAAGTTAAGGTGAACTGAAGACATCCAGGACTGAAGAAGCCTCTTGGATGAGGTGAAACATCTTCAAGAAACTCAAGCAAGTCCAGTTACCTACGATATAGCACTTAACATCTTCATTCACTGCGAAGTAGCGCTGTGTATCGTTGCTGCATAAGTTATATTAATATAAAACAAGACCACGCTAACACGTCTGTAAACCTGCCTGTTGGATACGTTCATTCTCCGGCCCTGTAAATAAAAACCTTGTTACCATTCTGCCCTTACGCTAGCATGCTAATGTTAGATAGCAGCGTCTGTGCTAACCGGACATCAACCAGGCTTCATTTCCGGTGTAAATGACTCTTATTCAGCCCACAGTCACACTCACTCTAATCTTCTTGCTGATCTCTGTCCCAATCTCCATGCTCGTCCTTTAATTCAGGTGAATAAGTTGTAAAAGAAGCGACTGTTTTTCTCAGCTTTACTGCTGCTAACCAACTGGGACAAGAATAAAGACGTAAGACCACGTGACCAACGGAGGAAGCCGAACAGGGACAAACTAAATTAACTCAATACTATCTATCTATCTATCTATCTATCTATCTATCTATCCAGACATATATGATACTATCTTTGTACAAGAGCGACAGACTGCAAACAAGGCAATCAATTTAAAAAGGACACAAATCACAAATGCAAGACAAGTACATCAGAAACTCATAAAAAAAATCCCAAAAGTGAGACTTACTAATATGTAAGGCTTCACTACTAACCGGAGACCTTGATAGGAGGGACAACAATCAGACTCCAATATGATAAATCTGTTGTTGCTGTTTTTCTCCCTTCATATCAACCAAGTGTCAATAACAACACCCTCAGTTTTTATTTAGCTGAATGCTGCTGTGTATTGCACTGATTATTTTAGATTCAATTTTAATAGTAGGTAAACTTTTAGTGGGAAAATCAATACTATAGAATACTGTAGTACCCAGAAAAAGGATATGCACATTTGTGTGTAAACAGTAGCCTACATAATATATATATAATAATGATAATAATCTTTATTTATAAAGTGTTTGTCAAAACAGAGTTACAAAGTGCTTTAGATGTCAATAATTAAAACAGACAAACCACGAAAACAACAACTTTTTAAGGAAAGAAGAACTGATTAAAAACATTTTGGCATATAAAAACTAAGGAAATAAAAGACAGTTTAAATGAACGTAAAACTGAAGTAATATCAGGAAGGGCTCTCACATAAAAGTATGTTTTAAGGCGGCAGTAGCTCAGTCCATAGGGACTTGGGTTGGGAACCGGAGGGTCGCCTGTTCAAGTCCCTGTCCGGACCAAAAATATGGAGCATGGACTGGTAGCAGGAGAGGTGCCAGTTCACCTCCTGGGCACTGCCGAGGTGCCCCTGAGCAAGGCACCGAACCCCCCAACCGCTCAGAGCGCCTGTCATGGGCAGCCCACTCTGACATCTCTCCACTTAGTGCATGTATAGGTCCAGTTTGTGCATGTGTGTGTTCGGACCTGTGTGTAATTGACAAACAGAGTGAAAAATTGAATTTCCCCTCAGGGATTAATAAAGTATATGAAAAAAAAGAAGGGACTTGAAAGAGATCACTGACTCGGCTGACATGATGTGTGTAGCAATGTGTTACATGTACTATAAAATGTACCTTTTACCTACCTTTCATCTTCCATGTACGGTCACACACAGTGAACAGAGAATTTGCCACAATATGACATCCATGCAAAAAAATGAGCAAAATCCATGCAAAAAATAAATAAATAAATAAAATAAAATATATAAAAATAAAAATGATAAAAATTGACAGATTAGTTGATTGTGAATCTTAGTTTATTGCTGTAATCTGGCAGGTTATAATACACATATATGTCAGATGACAGATTTTTTTCCTAACGAAATGGATCATTTTGCATGTGATGGCTAAAGTAATGAATGAAACTTACATGTTGTGAAGAGTTTGACAGTTTCACTGAAAATCAACTCATCAGTTTTGATAAGGAAGCCATGTTGTGCAAATTGTGGACACTTGTACTTAACTCTCTTGCACACTTGCCAAAACTTGCAATTTGCTTGAATGAATCAGAAACTCAAATCTGTTGTGAACAACAAACTAACTGTTCAGAGGTTTTAACCCACTGTTTTGAAAAAAAAAAAAATCTGCTTTAAGAATTGAGCCAAAGTGAATTACAAAAACTGTGAATAAAATTTCCTCATGAGCAGGATGCTGAGAAAACTACTCAGTATTCTGGACAACACCTCTCACCCTCTGTAGCCACTCTGGAGTCATATCAGGGCACATTCAGCTACAGACTGAGACACAGAGGAGCACCATCAAATTGCATAGGGAGGAGAGCTGAAACAAAGGACACTGACAACAATATTCACCTACATTAGGTCCACTATTACTTACTATACTATTACTATGATGTACTTTTCAATATCCTGTTCAATACTTTTCTCAAATCACATGCAATATTACTTCTCATTGATATATCATATTCAATATAACACTGATTATCATGCACACTCTGCTTTACTCCATTAGGCACTGGTTTTGCTTTTGCTCCTTGAAAACACTTCTTGTATATTTGTATATTTTTTTCAGATACTGACTCTCAACAACTCTGTTGTGTCTAAAACTGGGCCCAGTGAGTGATCCTGACCCAAGGAACCCACTGGTTGCCTGGTTGTGAATGTCAAATTGTGGTTACTGTACTTTGAAGCATTCTCTGGGTCAAGAATTTCCTTCAGGATAAATAGTTTATTGAAATGAACTGAACTGAACTGAACTGAACTGAAGAAAAGCAAACCTAAGGAGTATTAGTAGCTGAGTGTTGTTACCACAAGATGGCAGAAGAGACCATTAAGAACACACCACTGTGAGGACAGGTCATATTCCACATATGGATGGATGTACACTAATAAACAATGATCAAAACTGATTCAGAAACCTTCAACTTAAACCACTGACAGATCATTCAAGTAGTGACTTTAACCATAGTTTGAAAAACAGATTGATAAGCAAAATACAGACCTGAAGAATTAAGGTTTCAATATTAGTCTTAATCATGTCAAACTGACATAATCATAAATATTGTACTCATAGACTGTATAAAATAAGGTTGAACCAACATCATCTTGGACAGTCTGTTAGGTCAAATAAACATTGTTACAAGTTAACAGTGAAGAAAATAAACCATGCTTTGTTAAAACATTCATGTCAGTGTGAGAATTTAAATCTAAAATAACATTCAAATTGTACTGTAAGTGTATTTTACAGCATTGTGTCTCGTGACTTTCTAATGTCCATAGCTGTATTTTTTCCCTCCGATATTATTTCCTGTTTTGCAGCCCCTCAATGCCAACCAACAATGACGGGAAGGATCTTGCTCGCCGTCTAGACGAGCGTCTAACACACTCACAGCCACTGCCGTCTGCTCCGTCTCACTGTCTGCTTTGTTCACACCGTCTGTGTTAAGCAATGCGGACGCACAAATTGTTTTAATGTGTAGAAACATCAACTTTGTCTTTTTTCACAATCACACCGAGCCTTGGTTATATAAGAACTGACGCTGACCTCACTTAACATTCCTCTCGATGCATACTGTATACTCCTATCATCATGATAAGTACCACACTGCGTTTTTTTCTTTACATTTGTGTGGTGAAGCACACTCGTGCTGCACCAGCCGAGTATTATCTAACATCTGCATGATAATTTACCTTTTAAATAGAACATGGCATATGCTGCTTGCTCTCAGGTTTTGTCAGCCTCTTCCAGTCTTGCCTCAGAAGTTCAAGTCAAATAAGGTAATGCATACGGCATAGATTCCCCTGAGAAAGACCAACAGGGTTGTTCATGCATACAGAAGTGTTTATTGGTCCCACAGGTATACATCAGCACAGGACCAAAACTTTCAGGTCACGTTTTCCTATAAATCATGCTCACATACTTGAGCCTAATGGTCACTTAAATAATTTGTCGCACAAACCACACTTTTCTGCAGTTTCCATTTATCTTCAAAGGAAAACAGGAGCAGACTCTTTTTCTGTCTGTGTTCAAAGGGAATGAAAGAGAACCTTGAATGGCCCCGATAGAAACCCTGGAGTAGGGCAGACACAGATTCCACACAGAGACGAGAAGTGCTCTCTCTCATTGTTGTCCATTTCTCTAGTGCTTAATTGCATCAAGGCAGAGGCAGGACCTCTGCAGTGACCCCTGTAACAATAGTGTCGCAACAACATCCATCAGCAGACCAAAACAGCCCTCGTACTGTACCATCACACGCAACCAGTCTGCCCTGCTGCATGTTCGGAGGAATGGTGGTGTTTCTTGTGCAGGTGCAGGGGACATGTCGCCCCCAGTGTTTGTGCATTTGCCCCTCTCGGTAAGAACATTTACACCATACATTGATGCAGAAAAGGCAAAAACTGATGCATAAGAATTCCCCATAATGCAGGAATTTAAGCTTCTGATGCTAAAAATTTTCTGGTGGAGGACCCCAACACCCCCCTGCTTCATATGTGTCCATCCCCAGAGACTGTGCAGCGGCTCCCCAGTGCTCTGACTGCCTTCATGTCACCTCACCTTGTCGTCCCTGTGAGACTGCCACGTTTGCTAACATCATGCCTGCAGAGACCTTCACCTCAGCCTCAGCTCACTGATGTCATTTTGCAACTCATGCTGGAATACTGGATAATCTTGACGACTCCCCATAAAACCACATAATGTCATTTTTACATCACTGTTTGAGTACTAATTAAATGAACAAGCTACAGCATGTTAGGGGCGACCTCTAGCTCATCTGGTAGAGTGTGCGTCCTTGCAGCTGCATGGGTTTGATTCCCAACCTGGGGCCCTTTGCTGCATCTCATCCCCTCTTTCTCTGCCCCCTTTCATTTCATTATCAAGCTGTCCTATAATAAAGGCAAAAAGCCCCCAAAATAATCTTTTACAAAAGATACAGCATGTTAATTAGAGTGCGACTCAGGCTGCATGTTTCTGTCCTAACCTGACCTGAGTCTGACAGTCACTCTGTTCTTATGTCCAAACTGACCTGAGCCCGCCCATTATTGTAAGGTAAAGCACTGAGTTTGTGTTACCTTGTCATGCAATTGTTGTTACCATGGTTGCAGTTTTTCTCCATCACTTTTTTAAATTTTTACACTATGCCCATATTTTTCACTGAAAAGAACTTAAAGCACAACCCACTGAATTATTATTTAATTATTATTTAAGAATAGGAACGTCAGCTTCAATTAGCCTGTTAAACCATCTGCAAACTTTCTGTTGCTGCTGTTACATAGGTCACAGTCTGAAAAACCATCTCTGTAATCCGGAGCTGCTCTCCTCACGGTCAGTTTAATGTCTACTCAGTTCGCACAAGCTAACACAGCAGCAGAGGCTAACATCCAACATCAAGTCGTTTAACGATCCCAGCAAACTCACACACACACCGCAATGCCTCAACTCTGTCGTTAAACCCTTTA